GGAGGAAAGAGGAGTAATTGGTGGAATGATGAAGTAAAGGGTGTGATAAAAGAGAAAAAGTTATATTAATAGAGGTTTTTACAAAGCAGAAGTGTTATAAGAAAAGTAGAGTATATGGAGAGTAAAAGAAAGGTGAAGAGAGTGGTGAGTGAGTGCAAAAGGAGAGCAGATGATAGAGTGGGAGAGGCACTGTCAAGGAATTTTAATAAAAATAAGAAAAAATTTTGGAGTGAGTTAAACAAGTTAAGAAAGCCTAGAGAACGAATGGATTTGTCAGTTAAAAACAGAGTAGGGGAGTTATTAGATGGGGAGATGGAGGCTTTGGGTAGATGGCAAGAATATTTTGAGGAACTTTTAAATGTCGACGAAGAAAGGGAAGCGGTAATTTCATGCACTGGCCAGGGAGGTATACCATCTTTTATGAGTGAAGAACAGGATGTGAGTGTGGGGGAGGTGCGTGAGGCATTACGTAGAATGAAAGGGGGTAAAGCAGCTGGAACTGACGGGATCATGACAGAAATATTAAAAGCAGGGGGGGGGGATATAGTGTTGGAGTGGTTGGTATTATTGTTTAATAAATGTATGAAAGAGGGGAAGGTACCTAGGGATTGGCAGAGAGCATGTGTAGTCCCTTTACGTAAAGGGAAGGGGGACAAAAGAGATTGTAAAAATTATAGAGGAATAAGTTTACTGAGTATACCAGGAAAAGTGTACGGTAGGGTTATAATTGAAAGAATTAGAGGTAAGACAGAATGTAGGATTGCAGATGAGCAAGGAGGTTTCAGAGTGAGTAGGGGATGTGTAGATCAAGTGTTTACATTGAAGCATATATGTGAACAGTATTTAGATAAAGGTAGGGAAGTTTTTATTGCATTTATGGATTTAGAAAAGGCATATGATAGAGTGGATAGGGGAGCAATGTGGCAGATGTTGCAAGTATATATAATAGGTGGTAAGTTATTAAATGCTGTAAAGAGCTTTTATGAGGATAGTGAGGCTCAGGTTAGGGTGTGTAGAAGAGAGAGAGACTACTTCCCAGTAAAAGTAGGTCTTAGACAGGAATGTGTAACGTCACCATGGTTGTTTAACCCTTTCAGGGTCCGTCCCGTAGATCTACGGCTTTACATTCAGGGTCCAAACCGTAGATCTACGCCATGAGCTCAGCTCACTCTGATAAACTGTGAGTGGTACATTTGGGCCTAGATATGAGAGAATACATCTATGTGGTATGTGTGCACCACATAAAACAGATCCTGCAGCACACTGTGTATAATGAGAGAAAAAAAATGAAATCATGATTTTTCGATTAAAACAGCAACTTTGCAGTGTTTTTTTCGTATGTTTTTTATAGTTGTATTTCGATTTCTTGGTCTCATTTGATAGAATGGAAGACATATTACAGAAATAGAGATGATTTTGATTGGTTTTAGCACTGGAAATGGCTTGAAACTGAGCTCAAAGTAGCAGAAATGCTAAATTTTTGCCGATATTCAAGAGTAAACAAACGACCTCACACGTCTAATACACGTCAGCTGGTGGGTCTAATATACATTCACAAATATGGTGATGATATTTATACAATTATTACAGTATTGCATAACAGTAAATCTTCTATTTTTTGGTGTGAATAAAAATTCATTATGTGAATAAAAAATCAAAATGGAATTTATTTGTAAAGCCTCAAAACATAACTAATGAACAGAGGAACTGTTAGTTTAGTGCCAGGAATGCCTACATTGTTCATTCTGGACCATATTTTGAAATTGGAATATTTTGAACTTTGTGTTAAATTGGCCAAATTAACATTTTCCGATCACTTTATTTTGTAGTTGAAACAGATGACTTGGCGATTTCTTGTGCTCAATCGATAGAATAGAAGTAATACTAGTGAAATAGCTAAGAATTTGGTTGATTGGAATAATGTAATTGGCCTAAAATGGGAGTCAAAGTCGGCAAAATCGCCGATTCGTAAATATCGCTGACACATCAAAATTCGCGAGAGCATAATTTCGTCAATTTTCCACCAAATTTCCTACTTTTTGTTTTATTACCTTCACAAAAAGATTCTCTACGATTTCATAAGAAAAAATAACAAATTTTTTTTTTTAAAATTCTTGGACACTGGTGCGTGACTCCAGATTTGGGCCTTGGACCCTGAAAGGGTTAATATATTTATAGATGGGGTTGTAAAAGAAGTAAATGCTAGGGTCTTCAGGAGAGGGGTGGGATTAAATTATGGGGAATTAAATGCAAAATGGGAATTGACACAGTTGCTTTTTGCTGATGATACTGTGCTTATGGGAGATTCTAAAGAAAAATTGCAAAGGTTAGTGGATGAGTTTGGGAGTGTGTGTAAAGGTAGAAAGTTGAAAGTGAACATAGAAAAGAGTAAGGTGATGAGGGTATCAAATGATTTAGATAAAGAAAAATTGGGTATCATATTGGGGAGGAGGAGTATGGAAGAAGTGCATGTTTTCAGATACTTGGGAGTTGATGTGTCGGCAGATGGATTTATGAAGGATGAGGTTAATCATAGAAGTGATGAGGGAAAAAAGGTGAGTGGTGCATTGAGGTATATGTGAAGACAAAAAATGTTATCTATGGAGGCAAATAAGGGAATGTATGAAAGTATAGTAGTACCAACACTCTTATATGGGTGTGAAGCTTGGGTTGTGAATGCAGCAGCGAGGAGGCAGTTGGAGGCAGTGGAGATGTCCTGTCTAAGGGCAGTGTGTGGTGTAAATATTATGCAGAAAATTCAGAGTGTGGAAATTAGGAGAAGGTGTGGGAGTTAATAAAAGTATTAGTCAAAGGGCTGAAGAGGGGTTGTTGAGGTGGTTTGGTCATTTAGAGAGAATGGATCAAAGTAGAATGACGTGGAGAGCATATAAATCTGTAGGGGAAGGAAGGCGGGGTAGGGGTCATCCTCAAAAAGGTTGGAAGGAAGGGGTAAGGGAGGTTTTGTGGGCAATGGGCTTGGACTTCCAGCAGGCGTACATGAGCGTGTTTGATGGGAGTGAATGGAGACGAATGGTATTTGGGACCTGATGATCTGTTGGAGTGTGAGCAGGGAAATATTTAGTGAAGGGATTCAGGGAAACTGGTTATAATTAACAAAAAATGCACAATACCGTGACTGGAACGATACACAAATAACCCGCACATAAAAGAGAGAAGCTTATGACGACGTTTCGGTCTGACTTGGACCATTGACAAAGTCACACTAACCAGAAGTTGAGCAGGACGGCTATATATAGGCAGGAAGAGGTGGTGGCAGTAGTAGTAGTAGTAGTACAAGAATGGTATATAATACCGACAAGATGAAATTAAGACACATGCACAACACCCGGGCATCCCTATCGTAGACGTTTCGCCATCCAGCCAGCCACTGGATGGCGAAACGTCCACAACAAAGACAACCAGATGCCGCACATGTGTCTTAATTTCATCAGTAGTTGTAGTAGTAGTAGTAGTAGAAGAGGTAGTAGTAGTGGTAGTGGTAGAAGTGGGAAATAAGGAGGACGAGCCAGTCAAATACAAAGGAAGGGGAGCACTGCAAGAGAGCTAGGTGAATCCTCTCTAATACACAACTTTCCTTGTATGAACCTTAGCCCTGGCTTCGTCTCTGTAGATGCCTTCCTCTCCCACTACATTGTAAAATGCTCCAAACTTCAGAACACCCATGACTTAACCTGACTCCTCATTTTTTCTTTTTCTTTTTCTTCTCCCTCTTCCCTTTTCCTCTTTCCTTTTCTCCTCTGGGTTGTCTTTCTCTCTTCTGTCTCATGTTTCTGTTCCTTCTTCATTTATTTCACCACTTCCCCTTTCACGCACCTCTGTGCGCTTGCTCTCCCTCAGTGGGCACCAAGCTCTCTTGCAGTGCTCCCCTTCCTTTGTGTTTGACTGGCTCGTCCTCCTTATTTCCCACTTCTACCACTACCACTACTACTACCTCTTCTACTACTACTACTACTACAACTACTGGTGAAATTAAGACACATGTGCGGCGTCTGGTTGTCTTCGTTGTGGACGTTTCGCCATCCAGTGGCTGGCTGGATGGCGAAACGTCTACGATAGGGATGCCCGGGTGTTGCGCATGTGTCTTAATTTCATCTTGTCGGTATTATATACCATTCTTGTACTACTACTACTACCACCACCTCTTCCTGCCTATATATAGCCGTCCTGCTCCACTTCTGGTTAGTGTGACTTTGTCAATGGTCCAAGTCGGACCGAAACGTCGTTGTACGCTTCTCTTTTATGTGTGGGTTATTTGTGTAAACTGGTTATTTTTGTATAGCTGGACTTGAGTCCTGGAAATGGGAAGTATAATGCCTGCACTCTAAAGGAGGGGTTCGGGATATTAGCAGTTTGGAGGGATATGTTGTGTATCTTTATACGTATATGCTTCTAAACTGTTGTGTTCTGAGCACCTCTGCAAAAACAGTGATTATGTGTGAGTGAGGTGAAAGTGTTGAATGATGATGAAAGTGTTTTCTTTTTGGTGATTTTCTTTCTTTTTGGGTCACCCTGCCTTGGTGGGAGACAGGCGACTTATTAAAAAAAAAGATTTTGATAAGATTTTTTTTTTTTTTTTTAACACTGAGAGCAAGTTTATGAGCAGGAGTCTTAACAGTGAAAGGGTTAATATGAAAATTATTGAAAAACTCATGGAAAATGTGCTGTACATATGTATGGAGGGAGATAAGTAATCTGAATAATTATCTTTTTCATTACTATACAGTGGTACCTTGGGATATGAACTTAATTCGTTCCAGAAGGCTGTTCGAGTGCCAATACTGAACGAATTTGTTCCCATAAGGCATAATGTAAATTAGATTAATCCATTTCAGACCCTCAAAAATACACTTACAAAAGCACTTACATAAATACACTTACATAATGGTTTGAGTTTTGAGCTGTTCATATTCCGAGGTACCGCTGTATTTCGTGAGAAAGAGGCTAAAATTTATGCCATATAGTTTTATTTTACTTTGAAGATTGTTGACACCAAGAAGAGAGCAGGACCTTGGGAACCAGTCGTTGCTCCTCATATTGAGATCCAAAAGAAGCCATGTCCTCCTTGTAAGGTGTGTTTATGTATGATTGTAGCAAAAGTTAAACACTGTTATTCAAATACTTTATCTTTTAACAAAATTAAATGATGCACATAATTATTTATTTTCATCTGCTAATATTTATCACACAACCATTTTAGATGCCAGTACCAACAACTTGCTTTGGCCAACATGAAAACCCAAACTGGCCTTGCAGTGACCTTCGGCCATACTCCTGTGGGAGGAAATGTGGACGTCTTCTTGCCTGCACAAACCACACATGTGAACGGGAGTGTCACATAGTTGAGAATGCACCAGATGGCAAGAGAGCTGGATCCAACTGTGCACCATGTGAAGCATCTTGCTCAAAGGTTGGTGTATTTTGTTTTGATATAAAGCAAGATAGTTATACAGAATACACTGACAAATATAGGCACATTTAAGTTGAAAAGCAATATTGCTGAAACAAAGAAACAAGAAAAATTCCTGTAGAATATACTTGATCAATCAGGTAATTGCATGTAGGCATGCTGGAAGCTTTCAGGAATAACCTGGCTAATCAGGCAGTCAGTAGGTAAACCTGGCCTACAACCAGGCTGACAGACTAAAAATACTTGAAACCAGTCATAGGTGTAAGGTTGATAATTTTAGGTTCGTTTTGTGAACTGTACAGGAGAGCCCTGCCTTACAGTGCTTTGCTAATATAGACGTTTCAAATTATACCCAAAAATTCATTTATGTGGCTCCTGACTCGCTATTATGGCATCCGGCAGCAAACTCTTTCTCTCAGTTTGTTTATATGCTCCATGAGCTAGGTGTCTGGATTCTCTTTGGAAACTTTTCAAAGTTTTAAGCTTTTTAAAGTTATGAATACAGCATCTCCTCACTTGTCAACTTATTCGTTTACCGACAACTTGGAGTTACGGTGGGCTCTCCAACGAGGCAGTATTGTATGCCTTACAAGAACTTGGGTCATGGAAATGGGCAGCGTAGTGTCTCAGCATCAAGCCACTCTGTACACTAGCTTTTAAAGTCTCCAAGACTACATCTTTGTACAAATTTGAACTTCATTGTGCACCCCATAGTACAAAACAGAAGTGCAGCAGCACTTGGAAGAGGAAAGAGAGGAAAATGGAAGAAGTACTAAAGAAGTTCACAGTAAAGAGGGTTAGCCGATGTGTTCATCTGTGTGTTTACATTCTCGGTGTCTCTTGTGGCAGCTTAATTAAGAAATGATTAAACTTGGTGAACAAGGTATGTCGATGGTGATAATAATAATACTAATAATAATAATAATAATAAAATAAAAAATATAATTAATAATCACACTGGAGTGCTTTAAATATCATATTTATTTCGTATAGGTTTGGTAGCTGACATTTAAAGCACTCCAGAGCGATTGTTGTTGTTGTTATTATTATTATTATTATTATTATTATTATATTATTGTTCAACAAACCTGCCATATCCCACCAAGGCAGGGTGGCCCAAAAAGAAAAACGAAAGTTTTTCTCTTTAAATTTAGTAATTTATACAGGAGAAGGGGTTACTAGCCCCTTGCTCCTGGCATTTTAGTCGCCTCTTACAACACGCATGGCTTACAGAGGAAGAATTCTGTTCCACTTCCCCATGGAGGTAAGAGGAAATAAACAAGAACAAAAACTAGTAAGAAAATAGAAGAAAACCCAGAGGGGTGTGTATATGCTTGTACATGTATGTGTAGTGTGACTTAAGTGTAAGTAGAAGTAGCAAGACGTACCTGAAACCTTGCATGTTCATGAGACAGAAAAATGGACACCAGCAATCCTACCATCATGTAAAACAATTACAGGCTTTTGTTTTACACTCACTTGGTAGGACGGTAGTACCTCCCTGGGCGGTTGCTGTCTACCAACCTACTACCTTTAATTATTATTATTATTATTATTCTTTCTTTCAACGTACCAGCTGTATCCCACTGAGGTGGGGTGGCCCAAAAGGAAAACTGAAAGTTTCTTGTTTTAAATTTAGTAATATATACAGGAGAAGGGGTTATTAGCCCCTTGCTCCCGGCATTTTAGTCGCCTCTTACGACACGCATGGCTTACAGACGAAGAACTCTGTTCCAATTCCCCATGGAGATAAGAGGAAATAAGAACAAGAACTAGAAAGAAAATAGAAGAAAACCCAGAGGGATATATATATATATATATGCTTGTACATGTACAGTGGACCCCGGTTAACGATATTTTTTCACTCCATAAGTATGTTCAGGTGCCAGTACTGACCGAATTTATTCCCATAAGGAATATTGTGAAGTAGATTAGTCCATTTCAGACCCCCAAACATACACGTACAAACGCACTTACATAAATACACTTACATAATTGGTCGCATTCGGAGGTAATCGTTATGCGGGGGTCCACTGTATGTGTAGTGTGACGTAAGTGTAAGTAGAAGTAGCAAGATGTACCTGAAATCTTGTATGTTTATGAGACAGAAAAAAGGACACCAGCAATCCTACCATCATGTAAAACAATTACAGGCTTTCGTTTTACACTCACTTGGCAGGACGGTAGTACCTCCCTGGGTGGTTGCTGTCTACCAACCTACTACCTATAATTATTATTATTATTTTTTTTTCAAGCCGGCCGTATCCCACCAAGGCAGGGTGGCCCAAAAAGAAAAGTGAAAAATTTTCTTTTTGAATTTAGTAATTTGTACAGGAGAAGGGGTTACTAGCCCTTTGCTCCTGGCATTATTATTATTATTATTATTTTATCCTATGATTACAGGCATAGATCTTGATGTAAACTTTTTACTAAATGAATTACGTGAATCAACCAGTAACTGTAATTACTACACAGCAGACCAAGCAAAGACATTACTCAGTGCAAACAATGACATAACCATCTTTAACTACAATGTCAGATCCTTGAGCAAACAATATGATGACCTCACAGCATTACTCAGTTCCCTTAATTTCAATATATCAATCATTACACTCACAGAAACCTGGCTTAAGCCTGATATTACAGATTTCTATACCATTCCTGGCTACATGGCCATACACAACTGTAGAACAGACCAGCAAGGGGGAGGAACAGCTATATACTATTCAAATCAACTCGAATGTATCAATAAATCTTGCACAAGGGATGAACATGGAGAATATATCATAGCCAAATTTAAATCAAAAGCCCTGCAAAAACCTCTTACAGTTATAAACATCTACAGAGTACCACAGTCAAACATTTATCACTTTAGTGAAAAACTAGGAAATATGATTACTGATGCACACATGAATAAAGCCCACCTACTACTAACAGGTGATTTCAACATAAACATACTACAGGACCAGGACCCACAAGTAACTGAATTCACAAACACAATGAGTAACTGCCTGTTGTTACCAGCAATATCTAAACCTACAAGATTCTCCGAGACAAGCATCTCCTTAATAGACCACATCTGGACAAACACCATATCCCCTTTAAAATCAGGCATAATCACGGACAACACTACAGACCACTACCCAACCTTTCTCATAACTAATCTGGGCAAACTACTACAAGACATTACTAAAGTAACCTTCAGACTACATAACGAGACAGCAGTTAACAACTTTATAGCAGCTATGAATAACATCGATTGGCAAAATGAGCTTGAAACATATACAGATATGAATGAATGTATAAATAATTTTCTAAAAAAAGCCCAATGCCTCTACAACAGACATTGGCCCAGAAAAACTAAACAGATCACAGCAAAGAGACTGAATAATCCCTGGCTAACACCAAGCATCCTCAAATCCATTAACACAAAGCACAAATATGAAAAACAGTACAGAATGGGTCAAATAACTAGAGAACAGTCGAGAAATTACTCGTCAGCACTTACCAGCCTGATAAGAAGGTCAAAAAAATTGTATTATGAAAATAGATTACATAACATCAAAGGTGATATGAAAAATACCTGGAAAACTCTATCTGAAATTCTTGGAACTAAAAAGTTATGCAAAAACAAAGCAATCAAACTAACAAAATCAGATGAACCCCTACTCACTCCAACCGAAACAGTAAACAGACTTAATGTTTTCTTCTCCACCATAGGAAAAAATCTAGCAAACAAAATACCAAGCACAAACGTCCGTCCATCAGACTACCTCATAGGAACCTACCCAAATACGCTATTCCTAGCTCCAACCAACCCCACTGAAGTTATGCTCATCATAAACACCCTTAAAAACAAGGCAGGAGACATAAACAACTTGCCTGCTTTTATGTACAAAAAAGCTTCTCAAGTATTGTCACCAATTATTGCAATGCTCTTTAACAAATCCATTGAATCGTCTACCTTCCCAACAATCCTCAAAATAGCAAGGGTCACTCCGATCCATAAAGGAGGTGACCAAGCTGACTTGAATAACTATAGACCAATATCTAACTTACCACTGCTCTCTAAAATCTTTGAAAAATTAATTCATAGACGGATCTATTCCTACCTCGTTTCACACAACATATTAAACACTTGTCAGTTTGAATTCAGAAATAATAAAAGCACAAATGACGCTATCATACACATGCTAGAACTAATATATACCGCACTTGAAAAGAAAGAAGTCCCGCTGGGCATTTTCATTGATTTACATAAAGCTTTCGATACAGTCGACCATGAACTACTGTACTCCAAATTAATGCACTATGGTATCAGAGGCCACTCCCTCAACTACCAAAGTCATACCTTAGTAACAGAACTCAATATGTGTATGCAAATGATGCAAACTCCTCCACCCAACCAATCACAGTAGGAGTCCCACAAGGAAGCGTGCTTGGACCACTCCTCTTTTTCATCTACATCAATGATCTACCGAATGCATCACAGCTGCTCAAACCCATATTATTTGCAGATGACACTACATATGTATTTTCCCACCCAAACGCAGTCATACTAGCAAACACAGTCAATGCTGAATTACAGAATATATCTGCCTGAATGATGACTGACTAACTAACCTTGAACACTGATAAAACCTATTTCATTCAGTTTGGAAACAAAGCTGCAAATGATCCAATTAACATTACGCTAAATGAATCATCAGTCACAAGACTTACAGAGGGAAAATTCCTAGGTATCCACCTTGACAGTAGCCTTAAGTTCGGGACACATACAACAAATCACCAAGAAAATCTCCAAGACTGTAGGCATACTATCAAAGATAAGGTACTACATTCCACAATCGGCTCTCCTTGCACTGTACCATTCACTCACATACCCTTATCTTACATACGGAATTTGTGCATGGGGATCAACAATAACCCAGCAAAAGGCAGCAGTAAGAATGATAACAAATTCCCACTCTCACCAGCATACTCCACTAATTTTCAAAAGT